TTCCATTCACTTTTAAGCTCTACATGACATAATTCTGCATATTCTGGATTTAAATCTTTGAGTGCATCCTCTATATTCTATGAAAATTTAAAAGTAATTCTACTTTATCACCCTTTTCTCCGCTACCTTCCTTCCCTTTTCTCCGAAAATTTTGCAAATGGTCAAGGCCATATCAAAGGACCTACATTCCCATATTTTCGTGAAAAAGTAAAAAAATTTGGCTATATGAAATCGACCTAGCTCTACACGATGGTATGAAATTTTTTTATGGTTGACATTAGAACCGAATTGGGAGGGTCGAACGAGAAACGAGATCAATATCGAAAATCTCGATCTTTCTATTTGGCCGAACATATATACACATGACTAGTGATCTTGGTTCTTGAAAATTCTTCGGCTACCCGGCCAGAATCGAATGAATGAAAATTTCGGTGCTTCGGTTCGGCTCCGAACCAACAATCCTTTTGACCATTTTGTAATTCTCGAGAGAAAAAGGAGAATAGGAAGGTAACTGGAAGAGGAGTACCTGAATTACAACTCCATCTTTAGCAGCATGTATAACCCTCCCCTTTTGTTCATCTACAATTATCCCAACATGAAAAGCATTTCCATAGTCAAAAGAGACTGCCGAAATAGCTTCTCTCATTTGACTGTCATCATCCCTATTTTTTTGTTGGCCAGTTTTGGCCTTGTAAAAAAAGAGAAGATCTCCAATGGAAATATTGGGGAGCGGAAAAATAAACATTTCTTATTTTAATTGTTGAATTGATTATTTTTAGTAATATTTACTTAATAATAAATTAATTGGCCGTCTTATCACAAATGGAAGTAAATATAGACTTTTATAAAAATAAAAATCTTAAAATTGCAATTGTTTAACTTTGGTAATTTTAGAGAACAAACAAATACATATTTACTTTATCTAATAAAAAAAGTAAAAATAAATGTAACAAACCAACAATATAGCAACTATACAATTAATCAGACCTCGATTTAAATACCTCTAGAGCTAAAGAAACTTTATTTAAAATCGAGGGCTATCTTAATTTGAAGCTCTTTGGATTTTCTCAACGCAGTAACTAGAGGTCGCCGCGGGATGGGATGCCGCGCGGGATTTTGCGGGATACCGCTCCCGCAAAATCCCGCACTTTTTTCGATTTGCGGGATTTTCCTCGGGATCCCGCCCCGCAACGATTAAAAAAAATTTTATCCCGGGGGATCCCGCAAACGCGATTTTGCCGACCTCTAGCAGTAACCAACCCAGTTCTAAACATCGTATCTAAGCCCGGGGGTACTTAGAATTTGTGGTATTTAAAATCGAAGCCAGACTGAATATCATTATGAACGAATAGAAATTCTAACTATTATTAAATCCTAAATTCCTAAACCACTAAATTTTATTTATATTCTTGGAATCCCAAATGAAATTCCAGTTTTTTCTATTCCAACTTCATTCACTCCACTTCTGATCTTGAAAAGTCCTTTTTCTCCCCAGGCAGTGCTCCATGAATTTGCAATTAACCAGAAAGGTATATTCTGTCCATTACAAGTCTGAGTACCCCAACCAATTATTTTAACAGCGTGCCCGTCCCTTTTCTGGGCATTTGCAGTCCTCTAAAAAATATTGTGTTGTTTTATTAACAAATCTACGAGTTACAAAATAGACTCCAGATTTGTATGCCATAAAATCACTATAAACCATCATAGAAGCAACGACTGGGCCATTTGCCATTATCTCGTTTTTAATAGCTTGAACAGTTGCTGTACTTCCTTGAAGACCTCCAACATTTGTTGCTAGATAAATCAGATTAAAATATGTCAAATGGTACGCATTGATTTGAAGGGAAAGAAATGATAAAATTGTTTCTGCTTTTATAGTAATCCAATTGCTCTTAGTTTGACCCTTTAATCCCTCCCTGTAATGATTCTTTTCACTTATATTTTTACTTTTGCTGTAGGAAATATGAATATTATTGTGAGCAAGTGTTGAATGATTTATCGGATAGGCGAGCACAACTTGTGAGCAGTCAAACGTACCACGAGACTTGCTTCAAAATGATCGAATCCAGGACTCCCTAGTATCGAGCTGACCATACCATAATGCCCGAATTCGATAATTCTGACGAAGTTATAGCTCATCGGTACATTGGGCTCGCGGTACACTGCAGTGTAACCTCAACACTTTATTACATTGCCCTATGTGGTACTATTAACTTAATCTCCTAACCAACATAGAATTATCCCTTAAAAGTCTTTCCTGGTAGAATTCAACCCGAACTCTTTACAAAAATTTTCTTTTGTAAATTACCAAAATGTTTATCTTTGGGATATGTTGTCCTCCAGTTTGCTGTACATGAAGATTTACATTGTAACCTAGTTGCTGGTTTACCGGGTGTATATGGATATGGTTTACACCCGCTTTTCGTTTTATAGTCTGTTCCTGTGCATACTCCTTTGCTTTTTATCCAGTTCCATGCATTTAAAGGCCAGCCGCCGTTGCACCCATCTCCACTTATTGAACAAGATAATATATCAAGAGCAGAAAATTGAGAGCCTGCATCTGTTGCAGAGGTTGTTTGACCTTTTTTGAGCCTAGCAATACAATAACGGTCTGTATAAGCAGAGGCGGTAGATACAGCCCAACAACTTCCACATGGATTCTGGTCTTAAATACGATAATATTAATGATAAAAAAGATGGCTAAGTGGCTAAATCAGCGCTAAGTTGCATAGCTATGATAATCCATCTTTGGCTGTAGTGTAGTGTACCGGTGGTAAAAGTTCGGGACGTGACATATGTCATTCGATTCGTCTCGGCGAGCTGAGTCGAACGGTACCACTCCCTACTTTAGGAAATGATTCTGGACCGAGTTATAGGTCCCTGAAAATCGAAAAACCATAGGGGGGACCAAGCACTTTTTTGGGGTGAAAAATTCGAAAATGCAAATTATACCTCATTCGAAAGAGCTCGACGAGCTGAGTCGAATGACACCAAAATCAACGGAATCCGACTTGATTTGACAAAGTTATGACCGTTTGTTTTAGCTCCTTACCTATGTCATTTGTGGAGATTTTTGCTGCTACGGAGGCCCCAAATACGTCTAGAGCAAGGGAGATAGGAATAGGTTTATGTTACGAGCCCAGACCCACCGCCCGTAGACTCCCCGCGAGGCGCGTGCCGCAAAACCCCGCGCGAAGCGCGGGGTTTTGCACAAGCGCCTCGCCGACGCCCCATAGGTTTAGGTTTTTTTTGTTTTTTTTTTAGGTTTAGGTTTTTTTTTTTTTTTTCCACCGGTACACTACACTATATCCCCATCTTTTACACACCCTCCTTCATTTGTTTAATCAGAGCATAGGTATGTATGTAGCCTGGTCTCCTTAGTCCGATAAGGGGACCAGGTAAGGGGACCATATTAGTCCGATGAGGAGACCAGATAAGGGGACCATATTAGTCCGATGAGGAGACCAGATAAGGGGACCATATTAGTCCGATGAGGAGACCAGATAAGGGGACCATATTAGTCCGATAAGGGGACCAGATAAGGGGACCATATTAGTCCGATGAGGAGACCAGATAAGGGGACCATATTAGTCCGATAAGGGGACCAGATAAGGGGACCATATTAGTCCGATGAGGAGACCAGATAAGGGGACCATATTAGTCCGATGAGGAGACCAGATAAGGGGACCATATTAGTCCGATGAGGAGACCAGATAAGGGGACCATATTAGTCCGATAAGGGGACCAGATAAGGGGACCATATTAGTCCGATGAGGAGACCAGATAAGGGGACCATATTAGTCCGATAAGGGGACCAGATAAGGGGACCATATTAGTCCGATGAGGAGACCAGATAAGGGGACCATATTAGTCCGATGAGGAGACCAGATAAGGGGACCATATTAGTCCGATAAGGGGACCAGATAAGGGGACCATATTAGTCCGATGAGGAGACCAGATAAGGGGACCATATTAGTCCGATAAGGGGACCAGATAAGGGGACCATATTAGTCCGATGAGGAGACCAGATAAGGGGACCATATTAGTCCGATGAGGAGACCAGATAAGGGGACCATATTAGTCCGATGAGGAGACCAGATAAGGGGACCATATTAGTCCGATGAGGAGACCAGATAAGGGGACCATATTAGTCCGATAAGGGGACCAGATAAGGGGACCATATTAGTCCGATGAGGAGACCAGATAAGGGGACCATATTAGTCCGATGAGGAGACCAGATAAGGGGACCATATTAGTCCGATGAGGAGACCAGATAAGGGGACCATATTAGTCCGATGAGGAGACCAGATAAGGGGACCATATTAGTCCGATAAGGGGACCAGATAAGGGGACCATATTAGTCCGATGAGGAGACCAGATAAGGGGACCATATTAGTCCGATGAGGAGACCAGATAAGGGGACCATATTAGTCCGATCTCTAATGTAGACGAGAAGGATTCATCGCAAAAATACAAAAGAGAGGATCGAGAGTTGAAATTGGGGGGGGGAGGGGGGGGGGGAGACTTTTTTCGATTTGCGGGATTTTCCTCGGGATCCCGCCCGCAACGATTAAAAAAAAATTTTATCCCGGGGGATCCCGCAAACGCGATTTTGCCGAACTCTAGCAGTAACCAACCCAGTTCTAAAAATCGTATCAAGTAGCGGTGGTATTTAACATTTGTAGGGCTGGCCGAAACTTGCGGACCGACTTTTGCGGACTTAAACTTGCGGACCCGACGAATTTCTCGAAACATAGCTCATTCGAAAGAGCTCGACGAGCTGAGTCGAATGACATCAAAATCATCGTGATTGTACAAGCTTGGACAAAGTTACGATAGAAAAACAAAAACATAAGCCCCTGGTCCGCAAAAGTCGGTCCGCAAGTTTCGCACTACCATTTGTGGTATTTAAATTCTAAGTCAGACTGGTTATCATTATGAACGAATACAAAATTCTAACTATTATGTAAATCCTAAATTCCTAAACCACTAAATTTTATTTATATTCTTGGAATCCCAAATGAAATTCCAGTTTTTTCTATTCCAACTTCATTCACTCCACTTCTGATCTTGAAAAGTCCTTTTTCTCCCCAGGCAGTGCTCCATGAATTTGCAATTAACCAGAAAGGTATATTCTGTCCATTACAAGTCTGAGTACCCCAACCAATTATTTTAACAGCGTGCCCGTCCCTTTTCTGGGCATTTGCAGTCCTCTAAAAAATATTGTGTTGTTTTATTAACAAATCTACGAGTTACAAAATAGACTCCAGATTTGTATGCCATAAAATCACTATAAACCATCATAGAAGCAACGACTGGGCCATTTGCCATTATCTCGTTTTTAATAGCTTGAACAGTTGCTGTACTTCCTTGAAGACCTCCAACATTTGTTGCTAGATAAATCAGATTAAAATATGTCAAATGGTACGCATTGATTTGAAGGGAAAGAAATGATAAAATTGTTTCTGCTTTTATAGTAATCCAATTGCTCTTAGTTTGACCCTTTAATCCCTCCCTGTAATGATTCTTTTCACTTATATTTTTACTTTTGCTGTAGGAAATATGAATATTATTGTGAGCAAGTGTTGAATGATTTATCGGATAGGCGAGCACAACTTGTGAGCAGTCAAACGTACCACGAGACTTGCTTCAAAATGATCGAATCCAGGACTCCCTAGTATCGAGCTGACCATACCATAATGCCCGAATTCGATAATTCTGACGAAGTTATAGCTCATCGGTACATTGGGCTCGCGGTACACTGCAGTGTACCCTCAACACTTTATTACATTGCCCTATGTGGTACTATTAACTTAATCTCCTAACCAACATAGAATTATCCCTTAAAAGTCTTTCCTGGTAGAATTCAACCCGAACTCTTTACAAAAATTTTCTTTTGTAAATTACCAAAATGTTTATCTTTGGGATATGTTGTCCTCTGTTGTGGTGTGGTGGCTACTATAAAAGCCTCACACAATTGTCAGTCCGTGTCTCCTAATTGTCTCCAATATTATCCCAACCTTATTCTATTGCTTCAATACTATTGTTATTTCTATTGTGTGATAAACACATTATTGTATTGTGTATTTCTTGTTGTGCAGAGACACAACAAATTTGGCGCGGTCGTAAACGGATTCAATTGTAAATTGTATTGAAGAAAACAAATCAGGTTAGTGGCATTGTTATTGTTCATTGAAAAAATATTGTATTGATTCTTCAGAATGAAAGCGGAAGACATTCAAAAACTCCTTGAACAACAACAAATGAAATTCAATCAACAGCAAAAGGAACTTCAGGAACACCAAAACCAACAATTGTTACTGCAGCAGAAACAGATTGCAGAATTGTTGAGTAAATTGGGCAATAGGCCAAATATTGAAAGTGCTACATCGCTTCAACAAGAAGGATCAGCGCTATACGGTAAATTGCACAAATTGATTTCTGAGTTCCATTGTGATATTCCACGGGCATTCACGTTTGAAACGTGGTATGATAAGTACAAATCGTACTTTGAAATTGAGGGGGCCACATTGAGTGATGAAATGAAAGCAAGATTGCTTATTGCGAAATTGGGTGGCCCTGAATATTCTAAAATTGCCCAGAAATTATTGCCACGAAAATTATCAGACCTGAAATATGGGGAATTGTTAAATGAATTGAAAGAGGAGTTTAGGGACCCGAGGTCCAAATTGCTAAAGCGTTTCGATACGCTGAAATTGAAATGTAATGAATTTGAAAATATATTGCAATTTGGGAATCTCGTAAATGCCGAATGCGAAAAGTCAGAAATGAATTTGACTATTGAAGAAATGAAAATATTGATTTTTATTGTAGGGCTTCCTGACTCTGCAATTGATTTAAAACAAAATTGTATTCGGCTGATAGAAAATAAATCAAAGAAAAAAGAAGATTGTAATTTCAAGGAATTATTGGAAGATTGTCGAGGATTCTTGTCTACAAAAAAAGAAGTCAAATTGTTATCTGAACCTAAACAGGTCAGTAAAATTGAATTGGGTTCACCACCAGAAATAAATATTATTCAGGAACCTCAATTACAACAAAAACCAAATATTGAAATTGAGAACAAGAATCGCTATTATCCACCAAAAAGGCCATATTGTAATTATTGTAAAAAAGAAGGACATTGGACTTCTTATTGTTATTTTGCTGGTAAGCGTAAATTGTCACCTAGAGTGAATAATGTAAAAATTGGTTTAGATAAGAGCAATGATGGTCCTTATTGTATATTGTTGGATATTGAAGACAATGAAGTGCTGCAAAAACAAAATTGGATTGTTCAAAAATTGAAAATAAATGGAAATTCATTGAACATGATCATTGATACGGCTGCGCAAATCTCAATTATTTCAAAGGAAACGTGGTCACAGATTGGTGAACCAAAATTGGAAGAAGTTTCCTATAATGGAATTGCTATGGGCCAATCAAAATTTAAAATTGAAGGGAAATTTGCAGCACACATTGATTGTAATAATAAGGAAGAAGAATTAGATTGCCATGTTGTGGAAGGCAAATTGAATTTAATTGGATTACCTTGGCTTAAAAGATTGAATTTATTGAAAAATATTGTTAATGTTCCAGAAATTGAAAAGGAAAGGAAGAAAATTGTATGGAACAAACAAAAGCCAATGTCAAAACCAATTGTAAAGAAAAAACTCTGGAAAGGCAAAAATGTAATTGTGAAGAACAAAAACAAAAGAACCAACAAAATTGAATGGCTAAAAGGCGAAATTGTAGGAAAAGTTGGTCAATTGTTTAGAGTTCAAGTTCATTGCCTGAAGAGTGTAATCTTGCGGAAGATTGAAGACATTAAAGAAGATTACCAACAACCAAGAATTGAATCAAAGAATGGCTATGCTGTCAAACGCTCCAATGCGAGGCTGTACAATGAAGGCGCAACACCGAAGAAGAAAACAAAGATCTGGTCCGAAAAGTCTGAAGATAAGATGGAAAGCTGTTCTGAGGGATCATTAAATTCTGAGGGATCTGAAGATAGGATGCAGAGCTGTTCTGAGGGTTTGATAAATTCTGAGGGTTCAAATATCTCTGAAGGATCGACGATAAATAAGATATATAAAATGTTCTTTTGATTTGTAAAATTTTGTTTGTTCCCTTATTCCCTCAAATTTTTTTGTATGTATTTGTTGACCGGACTTTTGTTATTGTTTGTATGTTTTGTATTGCGGTGTTGTAACCCCAGCCTTGCAAAGGGGGAGGTGTTGTGGTGTGGTGGCTACTATAAAAGCCTCACACAATTGTCAGTCCGTGTCTCCTAATTGTCTCCAATATTATCCCAACCTTATTCTATTGCTTCAATACTATTGTTATTTCTATTGTGTGATAAACACATTATTGTATTGTGTATTTCTTGTTGTGCAGAGACACAACATCCTCCAGTTTGCTGTACATGAAGATTTACATTGTAACCTAGTTGCTGGTTTACCGGGTGTATATGGATATGGTTTACACCCGCTTTTCGTTTTATAGTCTGTTCCTGTGCATACTCCTTTGCTTTTTATCCAGTTCCATGCATTTAAAGGCCAGCCGCCGTTGCACCCATCTCCACTTATTGAACAAGATAATATATCAAGAGCAGAAAATTGAGAGCCTGCATCTGTTGCAGAGGTTGTTTGACCTTTTTTGAGCCTAGCAATACAATAACGGTCTGTATAAGCAGAGGCGGTAGATACAGCCCAACAACTTCCACATGGATTCTGGTCTTAAATACGATAATATTAATGATAAAAAAGATGGCTAAGTGGCTAAATCAGCGCTAAGTTGCATAGCTATGATAATCCATCTTTGGCTGTAGTGTAGTGTACCGGTGGTAAAAGTTCGGGACGTGACATATGTCATTCGATTCGTCTCGGCGAGCTGAGTCGAACGGTACCACTCCCTACTTTAGGAAATGATTCTGGACCGAGTTATAGGTCCCTGAAAATCGAAAAACCATAGGGGGGACCAAGCACTTTTTTGGGGTGAAAAATTCGAAAATGCAAATTATACCTCATTCGAAAGAGCTCGACGAGCTGAGTCGAATGACACCAAAATCAACGGAATCCGACTTGATTTGACAAAGTTATGACCGTTTGTTTTAGCTCCTTACCTATGTCATTTGTGGAGATTTTTGCTGCTACGGAGGCCCCAAATACGTCTAGAGCAAGGGAGATAGGAATAGGTTTATGTTACGAGCCCAGACCCACCGCCCGTAGACTCCCCGCGAGGCGCGTGCCGCAAAACCCCGCGCGAAGCGCGGGGTTTTGCACAAGCGCCTCGCCGACGCCCCATAGGTTTAGGTTTTTTTTGTTTTTTTTTTTAGGTTTAGGTTTTTTTTTTTTTTCCACCGGTACACTACACTATATCCCCATCTTTTACACACCCTCCTTCATTTGTTTAATCAGAGCATAGGTATGTATGTAGCCTGGTCTCCTTAGTCCGATAAGGGGACCAGGTAAGGGGACCATATTAGTCCGATGAGGAGACCAGATAAGGGGACCATATTAGTCCGATGAGGAGACCAGATAAGGGGACCATATTAGTCCGATGAGGAGACCAGATAAGGGGACCATATTAGTCCGATAAGGGGACCAGATAAGGGGACCATATTAGTCCGATGAGGAGACCAGATAAGGGGACCATATTAGTCCGATAAGGGGACCAGATAAGGGGACCATATTAGTCCGATGAGGAGACCAGATAAGGGGACCATATTAGTCCGATGAGGAGACCAGATAAGGGGACCATATTAGTCCGATGAGGAGACCAGATAAGGGGACCATATTAGTCCGATAAGGGGACCAGATAAGGGGACCATATTAGTCCGATGAGGAGACCAGATAAGGGGACCATATTAGTCCGATAAGGGGACCAGATAAGGGGACCATATTAGTCCGATGAGGAGACCAGATAAGGGGACCATATTAGTCCGATGAGGAGACCAGATAAGGGGACCATATTAGTCCGATAAGGGGACCAGATAAGGGGACCATATTAGTCCGATGAGGAGACCAGATAAGGGGACCATATTAGTCCGATAAGGGGACCAGATAAGGGGACCATATTAGTCCGATGAGGAGACCAGATAAGGGGACCATATTAGTCCGATGAGGAGACCAGATAAGGGGACCATATTAGTCCGATGAGGAGACCAGATAAGGGGACCATATTAGTCCGATGAGGAGACCAGATAAGGGGACCATATTAGTCCGATAAGGGGACCAGATAAGGGGACCATATTAGTCCGATGAGGAGACCAGATAAGGGGACCATATTAGTCCGATGAGGAGACCAGATAAGGGGACCATATTAGTCCG